AAGCCAAAAAACAAAAAATCTTTAACTCCAGTTCCAGAAGATCAGATGCCTCTTCTGGCCTCCTTAGGTATTGCATACACATGGTGCATTTACACACATGTAGGCAAAAACACGCTATACAAATAAATGAATACGTAAATAAATAAATAAATAAATAAATAAATAAATAAATAAATAAACAAATAAAGTATCCAGTGCATCAAATGGAAATCTAATCTGATGCTGGTAATTTCATACGGCTCTGTATGACTATCATCTATCTGGCCACTGTCTATCTATTTAGCTCCCAAGATACACACATATGTGTCCTCTATGTTTTGAGTGATGAGACGCTACCATGAAGCTTTCTATATCTATTTCTCTGTGTTCTGGCTTATCTGATTCCTCTGCATTCAAGACATTATTAAGGAATGAAACAATAAGCTTCATTACCTTTTTATGGACTTCCTAGTTCATTTATTTCACAAGGAAAGTTTTTGTTTCCCACTGTGTACCACAAGCCTCTATCACAGCACTTACAAAATACAGCTCTTACTGTTTCCATGTCTGAATTCTCTGTAAGCACTGAGATGACAAAAAATTACAAAAAATTTATTTGCATATTCCCAGAAAAGTGGCTCAACATCAGTAGGATAAACAAATAATAATAACCTATGATCCATGTTTTGAATCTGAAAGACAAGAGAAAATATCTCAAAGGAACCCTGAAAAATAAGTTAATCTAGAAGATAACAATACAGAATATGGCTGGGTGTGGTGGCACATCCCTGTAATCCTAGAACTCTAGAGGGAGATGGAAGCAGGAGAATCAGGAGTTCAAGGTTATTTGCAGCTACATAGTGAGTTGGAGGCTGGCCTACGCTACATGAGATCCTATCTCAAAACAAAACACATCACATGTATTCTATTTCTACTTTTTGAAATTAAATATTAATATGCCTTTGATAACAAAAATGGCCAGTTAGCTTTCAATTAAACAACTGTTGATAGAACATAATAAATATCATGTTGCTAGAAATTGCAATAAATGACTAGTCTACTAGTTTGCTACCCTAACAAAACTTTAGAAAACTATGGAAGCATTTAAAAATATTGCTATCCAAGTCTCAGCTCAGATCAATGAAATGACACTCTATGATTGTGGGGTCTAAGCAATCATATTTTTATGCTAAGTGAATGTAATATAAACAAATAAGAAAAAATATTTTTTTCTCTTTTGAAATAACAAAACTACATGTCTCATGGAATTTTCCTTCTTGGTTTCTTTTCCCCTTCACTTAGTCCTCAAATACTGGTGTTCTCAATGATTCCTTTCACTCTGTTCTCAAAGTCTTTCATTTCCCAGTAGATGTAGCCTACAACTGCCTGAAAATAATCACCCTAGGTTCTTCTGAGCCTAAAACATTATTTACATTATTTCATTATTTTCTTCTGTTTAGAAATTAGGTTCAAACAAGTCTATAATTATTTATATGCTCTTAAAAGACCCAGACTTTGATGGCAATACTTAGCCAATTCAAAACTATTCTGATGTTTATTTGTTTGACTCTTTAAAAAAAAATTTTGCATTATATTTTATTATAGGAAATATCAAACTATGTTTGAAATTGCTGACACATTTAACTGTTACCTGCAATCAGGTACACAAATTGTATTTTACATGTATCTCTGTATTACACATGTTTTATGAATTACAATGACTTTATTGCAATTTCTTAAAAACTGCCCTAATGTTTAAAAAGAGCCATGATTGTGCCATATAAGTATACTGTACACCCTAACTATGACACTGGAATAAAAGTTGTTTGATGTAACCAGAACAGAGTTCTGATAGTTAAGGTGTTTGGTTCTTTTTTGTTGGTATTTGTGATTTGGAGGAGGGGTGTTTGAGAGAGGAAGACGTCATGTAGCACAAGCTAGTTTCATTATGCAGCCCAGGATGACCTTGAACAGATCCTCCTGCCTCTGGTCCCATGTTTGATTCTTTACTTGTGGCTTGGGTCTGGAAAGTCAGCTTCTCTCTTTTGTGTTGTTTCTTTCTTGGCCAAAGACCATGCTGGTGTTCATGATGTAACCACACTTTTATCTGTTAGATATATCCTGTACATATTATAATTCTCGGCACTCAGGGATTTAATGTCTGTGGCTCCAAGTATTCCTAAGAAGCTCAAAAGGTCCAAGACATGACCTTTTAATCCTGTAATACAATATATCTATAGCACTGAGGCCACAAGGTAAGCTTTAAGAATGAGTCCAGCAAAATTCCTCACATCAGGATGGGTTACTATTTGGTTGTATCCTCCCCAAAGCATGTGTTGGAAACCCATTCCCAAAAGCAAAAGTGTTGGGGGTGGTATCTCATGGGAGGTATTCAGATAATGAGGGTTCCACCATCACAGACTAATGTATTAGTGCCAATTAATCCATTCATGGATGACCAAATGACTTGAGGTTAGAGTTAGATTCCTTGCATGCTCTTACTCTTGTCCTTTCCTCCTTTCTCCATGGGATGACAGCACAAATAGGACCTTCACCAGTTGTGCCGTCATGCTTTTTAACTTCCTGGACTCCAAAACTTGTTCTTTACAAATAAACCAGTTTCAGGTATTCTGTTATAACAGCAGAAAATGAACTGAGACAGCAGTATAGAAAACCTGAGATTTTCCATATATCATATTGTCTGATGTTCCACAATTCTTGACATGTACTCAAATGGTTCTGAGACATGGCACATTGAGAAAATCTTAAGCTATAATTTTTAAAAACATATTTTACTATTTTTATTTTATGTGTATGAGTGTATTGCTTACATGTAGGTAGGTGCACCTGTCTTGTGCAGTGCCCACAGAGGTCAGAGTCAGATACCCTGGAACTGGAATTACAGACAGTTGTTAGCTGTCATGTAGGTACTGGGAATCAAACCTGGGTCCTAGTGCTCTTAAGAGCTGAGCCATCTCTCCAGCCCCTTAAACTATGATCTTTAGGAAAATAATCTAATATTATGAGATGGAACCATCTGTCAGACACTACTCACTTATTGTCAGTCTCTGTTTTGAGCCCTTATAAACTCTGTGAAGCAGAGACTATTTCACTCCAGTCACTAGCACCTAGAACACCTCATCACACTATTTTCAACAAATATTTGTCAAATGAACGGATAAGTTTTAAAAAGATAGAAATTTATGCTGGGTGTGGAGGTCAGCCTGGTTTACATTGTGAGTTCCAAGCCAGCTGGGGCTATAGGGAGACCTCCATCTTTAAAAAAAAAGCAAAACAAAATGACAAAAAAGTTAAAAATGAATACCAAGAAAAGTAATGAGAATTTACTTGTTTTTAATCCATATAAATTTCAAGAATGAGGAAATTCTTATCTGGCTTATGAATATTAATGTAAAATGTTCTCTGCTCATGTATCTTTGTATTCTTTTTTAGTTTTAGACACAGTCATGGAATATTTACTTTTATATTATTTTACAAGTACATTATTACTAATATTTTCAAATTTAAAATAATTCAATATTTTAAAACTCTACCAACTATAAATTCAACTAAATGTGTCTTTGTCAAACTGTCTTATAAAATATAACAGTATTTCATCAAATACATGAATGAGAAAAAGAATTATAGTAACAAGTAACACCTGCTAATTAGTAATTAAACAAGGATACATCCACCATGCACTATGAACATAATTATGTCATAATTTTAGACACTAATTCAACTACCATTTCAAAATTAGAACTTAAAAGTTAATCTCTTGAAATTCAAAACCAAAGCAGAAGAAATATTCTAATTGCTTTCTTTTTCCTAGTAGTACTATATCTGCCAACATTTAACACTTTTTAATCGATGTAAAAGTAAAAGCAAACCAACACAATGAAATAGGAGAAAAACCATGCACTGTAGTTCGCAGCAGTATCAATCTCACATAAGACTACTGTTGGGGTTCAGATCACCTAGCAGCCCTGCCCCCTCCCCTACAGGGCCTTAAGGGTTCTACAAGCCCCTGAGATAAGCACCCTGGTCTCTGAAGTCAAAAGCAGACTTTTCTCCATGGTTTGGCCACCATGCCTGGCCTCAATTTCTATATGTAGCTTTCTTCATCCAAAAATGGCTTGCTACAAAAACATTTAAAATGTAGTTCTAAACTGTGCACAATGATATTTTGGCAAAGCCTGGTGATCAGGACTACAAGAGCAATGCTGGTTTAATGCATCATCTTTTTTGCAGTCAAACAAGAACTAACTTAACTAAATAAATGCTTAAGGGCTAAGTATGTGATTCAGTGGTAGAGCATCTGCCTAGCATGTACAAGGCCCTGAGTTTGATCTTCAGCACTGGAAAAACAAATAACCCCTCCCCAACTTAAACTATTAAAAATATGTATTTCAATAATAGTACAACTGAAGGTAATTTTTATTTTCTAATTTTTCCAAAACAAAAATTATTTTTGAAATAAGAAACACAAATTTAAATTTTAAAAGATTTTTTTATTATTTTTATTTTATGTGCATGAGTACTTTGCCTGCATATATGTAAGTGCACCATGTGCATGCAATGCCTTCAGAAGCCAGAAGAGGGCATCAGATCCCCTGGAACTGGAGTTCCAGATGGTTCTTAGCTACCATGTGGATGCTGGGAATCAAATGCAGATCCTCTGGAAGAACAGCCAATGTTCTTAACAGAGGAGCCATCTTTTCAGCCCCACATATTTAAACTTTAAAAAGAGTGAAAAGATTTAATAGAGGCAACAAGATTTCTTAGAATTTGAATCTTTTATTTATTTATTTTTTTTGATAGAGGTCTCCCTGTAGCCTCAGCTGGGCTGGAACTTGCCATGTTCCAGCTGGCCTTGAACTTACAGAGATCTACTTGCCTCTGCCTCCCAAGTGCTGGGATCAAAGGCATATGCCACCACACCAAGCTTAGAATTTGAATTTTATAGCAAAACACATTTCATGTTGATATGCTGCCAAAAGTTTTATGAGTAGCTCACTTACAGCTGATCTTGAAGCTCCACAATGATATATTCTAATTGTTCTTTCTCCAACTTATGGGCCAGATCAGAATCTTCAATCCTTTGAAGCAATATTTTATTCTGAGAGACAGATTCAGAAAGCTGGTTCTCACGAAGACATAAGAGTTCTTCAAGATAACCCTGGAAATACAGTATCACAAAGATAATTAACAAGTACAAAACTTCTAAGATATCTTTTAAAAAATATTTTACTTATTATTTTTATTTTATGTGTATAAGTGTATTGTCTGCATGTGTGTAAGTGCATTTGGGTTGTGCAATGCCCTTGGAGGTCAGAAGACATCAGATCCTGGAACTGGAGTTATGGGTGGTTGTTAGTCGTCATGTGGGTGCTGGGAATCACAAGAGCAGCCAGTGCTCTTAACCACTGAGCCATCTCTCCAGCCCCTCTTTTAAGGTATCTTAAAGATAAATGTTGAGCATCTTAAGCATAATTTCTAACCATATTTTAATGAAACATTTTCAAAATATTACTGATGAATAATTTTAATAAAATAGAAAGTTTAATATATATTCTCCATTCTTAATAGTTAATTTAAAAAATATTTTATTATTTCTATTTTATGTGTATGAATGCTGTATGCCTGTAAGTGCATCCATATCATGCAATGCCTGTGTAAGTCAGAAGAGTGTTGGATCCCCTGGAATTTGAGTTACAGATGGTTACTAACCACCATGTGGGTGCTAAGAATTGAACCCGGGTCCTCTGCAAGAGCAGTCAGTGCTCCTAACTTCTGTGCCATCTCTCCAGTCCTCTCTCCATTTTTTAGAGAGTTTTTGGGGGTGGAGTGGGGGGGACAGAGTCCAAGCTGGCCTTCAAGTTTCACCTCCTGTCTCTGCCTTCTTCCACAGCACTATAGGGTGCCCAGGGTTACAGGTGAGTGCTGTTATACTTGGTTAAAACTTTTTAAAAAAGATTTATTTGCATTTATTTTTTACTTATGTTATGTGTGTATACCTGTGTGAGTTTACATATGCCATGTGTATGCAGGTGTCTTTTCTTTCTTATTATTGTTCAAATCTGATAATACATTGACTTGTCTTTAAGCCCTAATATTCTCTTTTTTACTTGATCTATTGCATTGGTGAGAATTTTGACTAAATTTTTATGATGTAACAAGATTTTTATTCCAAAATCTGTTTGGTTCCTTTTTAGAATATCTGTGTATCAATTAATTTTTGAGACAGTTCTTACTATGCAGCCTCGGCTAGCCAGGGACTCACTATGCAGCCTGGGCTGGTCTCAAATCCATGGTGATGCTCCTGCTTCAGTCTCCCGAGTAAGGGGTTAAATGCACAGCCAAACATGACTGGCTTGCTGATATTCTTAAAAAGCATTCTTTTTGAACTATGTGGTATTTCTTGTACTTAGATATTTTTGGAGTCATTTACAAGAGAACTGTGAAACTGTGAAGGAAATCATATTGCTCTTTTCTGCCAATATTTCTTGTTTGTATGTTGAGTTTTGTGCATGTGCATCTGTTGAGATCAGCTTCCTTTCCACTTTTATTATAGCTTTGATATGGAGTGAATTACAAAGGTCATTCACTGAGGGCATGGTCTCTATTATAGCAGTATTGGGGGGGGTGGATTATGAGGACTCTTAACTTCATCAATGAGTTAATCCACTGATGGATTCATAGCTTAGTGGACTACTGGGAGCCAGGAGAAACTGAAGGAGGTAGGACCTAGTTGGAGAAAGTAGATCATTGGGAAGATGCATATTTCTAGGAATTATACCTTGTCCTTGTCCCCGTTAATTCTTTTGGCTTCCTGACCATCATAAGGTGAGCAGTTTTGTCTACCACAGTCTCATGAAATAATGATATTCTGCCTCACTAAAGTCCTAAAAGCAATGGACCAAGTCAGATACGGGTTCAAAACTCTGAAACTGTAAACCTATTAAAATAAACATTTTATTTTTTCCTATAAATTACTTCCCTCAATTCAGGTATTTTGTCACAATGATGAACTAACACAACTTTTATGTGAAGGCCTTCTTAGTAAGCAGTCTCTCTTGGCAACATGCCCTTAGATGTTGGTTTACTGTATAGTGTTGAGTTTAATTCCAAACTGTAGTGCAGCTTCCCAGTGGCCTCTTTGCTTGGTTAGTGGGTTTTTACACAATGTATACTAATTTGGAGTCTGAAGAACCCGTGTTTTCCATAAGCTGCAGAGGACTGGGGCTCCTCTGGTGGTTCCAACAGGTGTGATGTAGACAATGAATATACTGAATGTGCTCTCTGTTGTTACTCTTCCAGGCTTAGCAGCAAGATACAGGGTATAGGGGCAAGCTATGCAGAGGTTTCTTAGGTACAGTGTCTACAACCTTTTCTCTCTGCTGTAGCTATGGAGCTGAATGTCCGAGAGTGGATTCTGAGCTGCCTACATGGGGCTAGATCATAAGCTGAAGGCTTTTAAGTCCCCTGTCCTTTAATGTTAAGTTATCTAGCAGGGTTCAAGCAACACTGGGTGATGGATATACTAATGGGGTAGTGTATAGCTCAGCAGCAGAGCATCCAGCAAACGTGTTCAAAATGGTAGCAGACTTGCTCCCCAGAACCACACAGAAATAGGAAAACTAACAACAGTAAAAATAAACATATAAAACCGGGTGTGGTGGCACACGCCTTTAATCCCAGAGGCAGAGGCAGGCGGATCTCTGTGAGTTCAAGGCCAGCCTGGTCTATATAGTGAGTTCCAGGACAGCTGGGGCTACAGGGAGACTGTCTCAAAAAGACATATATATATATATATATATATGCAAATCAGATAAAGAATAAAAACAAAGCCAACAACCATCAAAATATCATAACCAACAGAAATGAAAAGGACAAAAGTTATATAAGATAAACTAAAAATAAAATCAATAAAAAAGAAAACAGAAAATAAAAGAACAAAAATTTGGAAATTAAAAAGGAGGAAAAAAGCAGCAGAAAGTAATTTTTTTAAAGATTAAGTTTCTATTTTTATTTATGTGTATGTGTGTGTGTGTGTGTGTGTGTGTCTGCGTGTGTGTGTGTGTGTGTTAATGTGTGCATGTGGAGACCAGAAATGGGTATCAGATCCCCTGGTACTGGACTTTTACAGGCAGTTGTAAGCTGTCACGTGGGTGCTGGGAACTGAACTCAGATCATCTAGAAAAGCAGCAAGTGCTCTTAACCACTGAGCTATCCCTCTAGCCCCAGAAAGTAAAAAATTTTAAAGGGCAAAAAGCAAAATGAAACAAATACTAAAAGGAGAGAGAAAAAACACAAACCAAACAACAATAAATAAAATGTCTCAAAAACGAAAAGTTTGGGCTTCCAAAATGGGTTAGCAGGTAGAAGTGTGATGGTTCACCTCAGGACTGACCATAGTGATGCCATGCTACAGCCCTAGCTAGTCCCAGCAACTGAAAACTAGAGTCAGTTGATTCAAAATGTGGGAATAGAAAAGTTTGGCCTAGCTGCACCAGGAAGTGCATTTGAGATAAAAGTCAACATGTATCTGGCCGCCCTTGCTAACTGCTTGGTTTTGGCTTCTGTACTTCCCACTTGCACCTGCAGGAAGAAACTGTTGGAAACTTTTCCACTCCTAAGCTATGAGAAACTGTTGAGGGGGGCACTCTTTCCACCCCTGAGCAGATAAGGATATGGTTTTTCAGTATGAAAGCCTATCCCAAGAAAGGCTCAGGACTGCACTGGAGATCTAATGTCCAGTGTAGTTGCAGGCGGGCTATAAAGACTTTCTTTTGGCTATACTCTGTGTCTGAGTGGTCTTCTCTGGTGGGACACCTCACAACAAAAGTGCTTTTAGCACAAGCCTGATGAATTAAGTTCATGGTAGGCAAGAACCCACTCCCCAAAGTTGTCCTCTGATCTCTACACATGTGCTGTGGCACCTATATGCCTGCACTCAGACACAGACACATCCTACCCATACAATAATAATAATAATAATACCTTTAAAAATAAAAACAAAGGGAGAGGCAGACAGATCTCTGTGAGTTTGAGGCCAGCCTAGCCTACATAGCAAGTTCAAGGCCAGATGGAGCTACAGGAAGACCCTGTCTCGAAAAGACCCAAAATAAATAAATAAATAAATAAATAAATAAATAAAATTTAAAAATTAAAAAAAATTGAAAATTTCCTCAACTAAAGTGATCAGCTCTGTGGGTAATAGTGATTGTCCAGTTTCTGCAGTCAGAGTGTCTTTCTACATTATTTAGTCACATGCCCCTTAGAGACCAAAAGCTGGACCCTTTTACTCCTTTCCTTCTTTCTTTCTGTTGCTGGCCAGATGACCAGAGGCATTTGGAAAACCTCTTAGATGCTCTGCTCTCAAGTAAGAGCTAGGGAAAAGCCACAAAGCTCCCCTAGGGTATTTATTTTAGAGACACTCTGAACACTCTCAGAGTGGCAGATGGGCCCAGAAGTAGTGCATTAGACTCTCTGACATCATTTGTGATGTCCATTTAGAGAGCTGTGCAAGGCTCTGGAGTTGAAGCTATTACAACAGGGCTGGAGGTTGCAGCATGCTGATACTCAGGGCTCTAATGTTCTAAGACTTAGAACAGAATCAACTCACAATCCTAAAGGGGAAATGTCCACAGTTCTGGGCCATGTCATAGACTAGTTTCCTTTTGAATAAAATTCCCAATGGGTTTGTTTCATAGAATCTCCAAGAGGACATACTAGGTCTTGAAGCCAAGCTCCAACTGAGTTAGTATAACAGTGTTTACTGCGAGCTCCTGGAAGCAAAGTATATGCAGGGGACTTTGATACCCAGAGCAGCAAGCTCAGACAAGACTTTCTCAAGATAGCTCCTCGAATATATACTATAGCATAGAGATATAGGGATTCTTCAGTGCCAATCACCTTGCTCAGTCTGGCTCACTATGTCCAGTCTTCACAGTGCTAGACTCTGCCAGCTGTGCTCACTGGGTTACTTCCTCTTCCACCTCTAAGTTCTTACATAGTCAGTGCTGGTTAAGTCTTACATTCTGCTCCACTATCAAAGCATATGGTTTTCTCCAAGTTTGTGTATATGCTACTGAGTTTCAGTGTTTTCCCATAGTCACTTATATCTACAAGTGGCTTTTCCTCAAGGGCTTTTGTCTGCTTGCTTGTTGTTCTGCTGTGCTGGGCATTTAAGCCAGTGCTTTGCTCATGCAATCCAAGTGCTCTACCACTAAGCTATACCTACATTCAGTTTTATTTGAGATAGGGTCTTGCTATGTAGCCTAGGCTAGCCTCCAGTTCTCCATTCTCCCGAGTGCTGAGATTACAGGCTTGTGTCACTATGCCTGGCTTCAACAGTAATTGCTAATCTTTTATGTGGTTTCTGCTGAGTACCTCTAACCTGCCATCTTGTATCTCACTTGATTTTTTGGTCTGTTTGTTTTAGTTTTGTTTTTGAGACATGGTCTCTCTGTAGCCTCAGCTGCCTTGGAACATGCTATGTAGGCCAAGTTGGCATGGATCTCATAGAAATCACCTGCCTCTGCCTCTGGAGTGCTGAGATTAAAGGTGTGTGGTATCACACCCAACTCTCCTGATTTTTAATCAAGAGTCTAACTCAGAAACAGAGAGGAAGTAGCAGTTAAAGATCTCTGGATAGTGATAACCCCAAAGTAGTAAGTAGAGTCAAATCAAGAGACTTGTGACAATTGATATATACCTTCTGTTCAAGAGTAAGTTGGTACTTTTGTTTTACTCTCTTGCACTTGTTAAACCAGCTGTTCTCATCCATGATGAGAGGTGGTCCCACATTCTCTGGAGTGCTGCTTTCACTGTCACTGCTTCCAAAGGTCCTGAGCTCCTCTTCATCACTGCTAATACTATCAGAACTGGGAAGATCAAAGGAAAAAAAAAGAAGTGAAATAAAATGGTACTTTCCAATCTGATTATTAAAATGAACACTTTTGTAAGTTATGAGTATCAGTGAAGACAGAATTATAATAATAATACTGTAAAGACTCAAATATCCTGGAAAAAAAAGGCAAGCCTGCATGGCCTGCTGACTCCCTGGTCACAAAACCAAGCCTAGACATGTTATAGTTAAAGTGAAATTTAGAGATCTAAAGAACACAGGAAACAAACGATTCCCAGAGAAGCAAAATGAGGAACTCCAGATGTGCTGTCAGGCTTTCTAGTGGGATTCTTTCATCACCCTAGACAATCACTGCTTAACCCTTCTGCACTACCAGGTAAAGCTGGAGCACAACAACCAGTAGTGTTCAAGGTCAGCTTGACTTTGCAGAGGTTGCTGGGAGAAGGCAGCAAGTTTAGAAGAACCAGTCGCTCTTCAGCATTTCATACTAGGAGGGATGCAGAAGTAGAGAGAATGCTTATTTCAACACATATTTAAGGTTCTGCATGGCACATGTATAACAGAGAATTACCAAATGAAGTGAAAAAAAAAGACAGATGAGAAAGTAGGTAGGAAGAAAAATGTTGAGCATTTGATTCAGGGTTTGAAGCAATAAGAAAGCAAAGATATGGATTATGAACACAAAAGGTGATGCAAGGAATATTTAAAATGTATTGAAAAGAGAGGGTTGGAGAGAGGGCTCAGTGGTTAAAAACACTGGCTGCTCTTCCAGAGGACCCACATACAATTCCCAGCACTCACAGAGCAGCTAATAACTGTCCATAACTCCAGTGGCATCCAACATCTTCTTCTGGCCTCTGTGGCCTTTGCATGCCACAGGTGTACTTACATACATGCAAGCAAAACACTCACATACATAAAACAAAAATAAATTTTAAAAATTATATAAAAGACAACATCATTCTAAATGGAGAAAAACTGGAAGCATTCCCATTGAAATCAGGAACCAGGCAAGGTTGTCCACTATCTCCACTTCTCTTTAACATAGTGCTTGAAACTCTTGCAAGAGCAATAAGACAAGAGCAGGAA